GTTAACAAGGGATCCCCAGTGTTATTTTTCATTGCATTTTTTTTAAATTTACAATGTACGTGAATAACATGAGTGGATATATTTATTCTTTGGTACAACATTCTTGATTTTTTTTTTACTTTCTTGTATTTTTTTTAATTTAAAGACACACATATTTTAAGTAAACTGTTTACTGTTTTACTAATAATATTTATTGTGTCAAATAAAATAAATATTTAGTTTACGGTGAACTAAATCGTCGTAAGGATATCTAATTTGGAAATGCGCCAATCTATATCGAAACGTGGCAGTTTTTTTCTCGCTCTATGACATTCAAATCAAATACAAGATTAGCTGTGAGAAATTTACAGGCCGTATTGTTTATTAATAAACTGATCCATCTGATGGACTTTCAGTATCAATGAATAAACATCCCTCTTTCGTTTACTCATTACAGTACATAATAAGTCCATTGCTAAACTTGCGGCCCACCCCCATAGATTGCCTCATTATAGTTTATTTTTCATAGCTGCCACACTTAGCGGGTTGGCATCCGCAGTCCTTTTTTTTAATTATTATCAAGTTTGATTTTCGAACCGATAGGACTAGGGACTTTCAAGAAAAGAGCCTCCTCCTACTTTCTCAAAGGCCTCTAGTGATGTAAGCCACATGTAGATCGGGAGATGGTGACAGAAAATAGTCTCCCATTTTCTCCTGCATGCCTTTTTAAGAATTGATAACTAACCCTAAAATATGAAAGAGGGGTTACGAGCCCTTGCGCGCTTGCACGTCATAAAGAAAACGGCTTTTCTTTGTGTAAAGAATTTTAGTATTTTTCCGTGACATTATATTGCATGCTTTTGTAATATAACGTAGTTGGAACAAATTTAAGCTATAATAATTGATGGCATGCAATTCGCAACGGCCGACGGGACTCAGAGAGTTACGTAGAAATGAAAAAAAAAATAGAACATTTCCGTATTTACAAATTGCATGCCGTTGTAAAACATTAGTTTTTTTTTTTATCTCAAAAATACTCTACGAAAATTGGCATGCACCCCTCGTATGACCAAGAGTGGAAAATATTAGGAAAATGTTGTGAAAATTCAATACAACTTTTCGTGATTTCAAACTACTTCTAATAAAGACAAATATTAATTTTATGACCAAATAATTCTAAAATACAAATGGCATGCATGTTGCACATGATCATTATATTATAAATAATAACAAAAGTTGCAAAAAAATTAAATAAAAATTTCCGCGTTTTTTATTTGCATGCCGTTTTGTATTTCATAAAAACATATTATTTTAAGTATATACCGAAAATGGCATGCGTATTAAATAACACCATCGTATTTTAAATAATAATGAAAGTTTCATAAAATATATGAAACATTTCCGTGTTTTTCATTTGTATTTCATCCATCAATTATTATAGCTTAAATTTGTTCCAACTACGTTATATTACAACGGCATGCAATATGTAAACACGGAAATGTTCTATTTTTTTTTCATTTCTACGTAACCCTTTGAGCCCCGTCGGCCGTTGCGAATTGCATGCCATCAATTATTATAGCTTAAATTTGTTCCAACTACGTTATATTACAAAGGCATGCAATATAATGTCACGGAAAAATACTAAAATTCTTTACACAAAGAAAAGCAGTTTTCTTTATGACGTGCAAGCGCGCAAGGGCTCGTAACCCCTCTATCTTTCATATTTTAGGGTTAGTTATCAATTCTTAAAAAGGCATGCAGGAGAAAATGGGAGACTATTTTCTGTCACCATCTCCCGATCTAATGCTCTTTCGCTCTCTTTTAAATAATAAAGTTGTTGTCAGTGAGAGCTTGTTGCCCATCTCCTGTTTCAGGTTCTCTTTGCCAACTCTTATAACAACCCTTGAATGTATGATATAGGGCTCTTCAATGTAAGAGACGAGTGGAGGTAAAACGTCAAAAATTAAAAAGTTCAAATAAAATCCGTAAAATTAGTTACTTAAGTGCATACTGTATTAGAATAAAAATAAATACCTAGTAAAATATACGATGAAATCATGATTTAAACTGGTAGGCCGTTTCATATATTTAGCACGCGATGTAAAGGTTTACATAATAACTTATATGTTCATTTGTAGAAACATTTATATAAGGTATCTCCAAAATAGTCGATTCACATTCGCCGACTGTTCCTGTCGAACGTAACAAGTTATTTCTAGTTCATCTAAAATCAACACTGGAATAACAACCTTCAGGAACATGAAAATGCGACGCATTACTTGCAGCATAATTTAATACGAGTATACATAAACAAATTGTTAGACCTCACAAATAAGAAAATTTCCCAAGCGACGTTTTTCTTTTAAACCAGTAACCCATTATAATATAATTGATGTGGTTTAAATATTCCTAGTGAGAAGAGATTCCTAGAGAGAAACAAGCTCACAGTACACCTGATGATGGCTACTGCAGCCCAAGACCACGGCAGTGACGCCCATCAGGACTGAGATGGATGTCCTAAGTCTTACAGCAGTAAGTGAACCGATACAACGAAAAAATGTGTAAAAGGATGGCACCAAACACAGCGGACTCCTGGACTGAAAGGAAGCGATACCAACTATGAAAAAAATCTCTTCTATATCTACCTTTTACATATATTTCCTACACCTACATCTATACCCACAACGAAATTTAGCGTTGATTAAGAATTAAAATAGAGACGTGTTGTCACGTTGGACTATAAATTATTCCTGTAATGTGGAGACATTTTACAGACATTCAGATCAGGAGCAATAATTGGTAGGCCATACATACAATATAGTCGTTTTGCGCGGGATTCAAACTTGCGACCCATAGCGCCTCAAGCGAAAGGCTACCGAGCCATCAATGGAAAGTATGTGGGTTTAGGATAGGGTACGTGGGTTTAAATTCTGTTTTCACTTACGTTGGCCTAGAAGAACTTATTAACAGGCCTGCTGGCAACATTAAGGCCATTTCTCTTATTTTTTTTTTGTTATTGTGAACAAAATGGTCATCATACGTTTTCATGGATAGGATAGGTTATAGGCTTTGAATCTTATCCTCACGTATGGACTAACAGCACTTTGATGTAGTTAACTTTCCTACAGACAACATTAATGACATTTCTCTTATTTTTTAACTAGCGATCCGCTTCCGGCTTTACACGGTTGATTTCTGGATCTCGACAACAACGCCACCTACCGCATCCAATTGTGAATCTTAACCATTATCTAATCAACTTAATCACACACACACACACACACACACACACACAATATTTCATCAAAATCGGTCCAGCCGTTTAAAAGTTCAGTCACATACACACGGACAGAAGAATTATATAACATGCATGTAATATAAATATAAACCTTCCTCTTGAATCATTCTGTTTATTGATGAAAACCGCATCAAAATCCATTGCGTAGTTTATATGATCTAACCGTACAGACGGCGGGAAGCGACTTTGTTTTTATACTATGTAGACAACAAACTAAGTAGCAGCTTGTGAACAAAATGGTCATCACATGTTTCCATGGTAATGCACTTATATTTTGTTATATGTCCACACGTATACTTATGTATTACGCAAGACCATCCTTGACGTGGCCATCGATCTGACTGCTCGCGTATTTCACGCGCTATCCAATACAAATATGTGTAATTTATTCGACGAATGGACCACTAAAAATAATTTCGGCCACGAATACTGTGGCGTTAGGTGAAGCAAAATCAAACTGTTGTACGTATAAGAGTTCTATCGTCAAAATAAAAGGCGCGACTATCAACTTTTTTGCGATTACAGTAAAAAAAGAAAAGTTTTTTTTTTTAATAGCAAATAATAAATCAATGGCCGTATCAAAAAATACTTTTGACATTTATCTTTTATACTTCAGTCGCGATTACACGCTTGCATAAAAATGTAACGAGAGGGTAGGCAGAGTTCAAAGAGCAACAAGCTACTCTGACCAAAATTAGTCAAAAATATTGACTTTGATGGGAAATTGTGAAAGAAGTGATAGATGAATAACCAATCGCATAGACCTTTTTATAGAGTAAGGGTGACAAACGAGCACACAGTCCACCTGATATTAAGTGAATGTTGGCCCATACACATCTACATCCATCTCCTATTAAGAACAAAAATGCAGATGCGTTGTCACCCCTGATGACTAAGATGGAATGCCTTATCTCTGTTTTTTTTTTTATAGAATAATGCCCCATAGACATCTACATCTATCTTCGTTTGCGAATTAAAATGCAGATGCGTTGTCAGCCGTGAGGACTAAGGTAGAATGCCTCGTTTCCAGTAAAAAGGGTCTCCGGTTCTCTACACTCACCATACAAAACACAGCAGCATTAAGCTGCTATTTTACGCTGGTATTCTGTGAGAGCGTGGTCCTACCTAATTTTATCGAAAATCAGAGTCATGCTACAGCTGTAGTTGTAGCACGAATGGGTCCGGGGTCGAGCCGACCCATTCGTGCTACAACTATACTATTAATATAACTGCAGCATGGCTCTACCACGTATAAACTCTTAATATTATCGGCCTTACTCATAAAGGTCGATGTCAATTTAAGAAATACATAAAGTTGCTCACTCTCTTTTCTTTAAATAACAATGGATAGAGAAAGGTATTGAGATAATTAGTACTTAATTTATATAAACAATAATCAACGATGTAAGTAAGACTGTTTATTTTTAAGTGGTAGGAGCCTTATAGTGGCGGCGTAGGTGATTCATTCACACCATTTCATCCCGTGGGTGTCGTAAAACGAGACTAGGAGAAATGGTAGAAAGGCTTCCGTTAGACGCCGGTATAAATATCTTTTTTACTCCAGACGTAAAACATTCAGGCCATATTGATTATTAATTGGGTATAGATGTAGATGTATATAGGCCACAGTATGCACTTACCATCAGATGGACTGTGTGCTCGTTTGTCACCCTTATTCTATAAAAACGAATCCTATAATAATACTAAAGGAAGTGTTACTGACCTGGAGTCACTGCCCCAGTGCATCGCGTAAATCTTGGCAAGGTGTCCGCGTAGCGTCCGCCGCGTGCGCATCTGGATGCGGCCGATCGGCTCCAGGTTGGCCGTGGCCTGCGCCAACGACGTATCGCACGCCGCCTTCCTCGCATCCTGGACAATCGAACACCATACAATTAACCATGTGTAACCATTACATCAATCCGCCAAGATTAAGGCAAATCTTTGCTTTTTACATAAACATTTCCAAGATATGATTTGGGTTGTATGTGTGCTTAATGGTTCTGGCCACCCAATTTTGTTAAGGGTATCAAAAAATTGTATAAAAAATTACGAATTCAACGGTATTCTAATTTTTTTATACATTTAAAAATGACTGAAATATTGATGAGTAAAGTGGGGTTTTACGGTAAGGGCGACCGCTTTGCTCCGCATCGCGATGTGACGTCACAAACCGACACGTCGAAGCCACCTGTAGTCTTTATTGTTATATTTTTTTATTCTCTCCATATTTATTACTCCATATTTTTCTTGTCATGTTATTTATTTATCAGTAACCTTTTTTTTTAAATTTCTGTTATATCACGCTCCTTGGGAATAAAAGTCTGATATGAGAAGATAAAATCCTGTAGATCAAATTATACCTTAATGCAAAATTTCATCACAATCAGTTTAATATTACACGCATTCAATGCTTGCGACCATTGCATTTTCAAAACAGTATAGGTACCAATTCTACCGACGTAATACCGCAATCAGTTTATTCAAAAGTAAGTCATAGTAAAACTAGGACCATATGTTTGCAACCACTGACGAACTACGTAACCAACAAAATTTCTTCACGTGTCACTAGGTACTAAATAGCAGTACGAGTTGATTAATACTCACTGCATTAGTAAGTTTAAGTAAGTTTTTTTCATTTTATATCGTTATAAATCATGTGCAACTTCATGGTTCGGTCTGTTTATACCTACCTATGTATTACTGCCTAATTACTAATCAATGGTAAAGCTGTATACTTTTCGTAATCTTTTATTAGTAACTTACCTTTAGAGCTTTATATTTATTTTCAGAAAATTATGAAAAAATCATAATTTTCTGAAAAAATACTGCGCAGCCATAAAAATATCCGCTTTTGGCAGATTAGCTGACAGTCTTTTTTCAAAGCCCGCTTCCATTTTCTTTTTTATATAGTACATCACACTGTGACTATACATATAAATATAATCATATAAAAGCTAAATGTTCAATACATTAGTTTATAAATCAAATCAAATAGTTTATTTGTGATTCACAGTTTACAAAAAGCTCTTATTTAAACACGAATAAAGTTCAGTATGTGATCAGTCTCATGAGCATACAAATGTCAAATATTTATTTATTTATTTATTTATATTTCCTACTAACAATTTTCCTACTAACATATTATTAATAGTTCATTGATTACATTATTCATAATAATGTATTAGATTATTAGATTAAATATTGATTACATTAGATTATTTATAAACTTATTAGTTCAAAATTATTATATAGTCGTTGGGTTTATTATAAGTATTATATCATCTAATACAGTCAACCGGATATTAACTCTGACATTCAATATAATATGTAGGTAAACGACCGTATACTTCCGAGCGCGCATAGATTACTGTATATATACTACGACTCAAATTTAATTTTCTTTAGTGTCGTGCTTTGCATAACAGACGGCGCTTACAAAAGAAGGAACTTGAAAAGAAGGGAAAAATAAACACATCTGCCGGACGCGATCCGGGGTCTTTATGGTGCCTTTCCACGCTTGCCAAGCCTCGGCAAACGTCTTCAAGCCCCAAGCGTCCACAAATCTCGTTTGGCGTTTGGAAGTTGTTTACACGCTTGTGAATGCGTCAGTGTGCTACGTATATCCAAGCATGGCGGACACCGAACTTGTGTCGGCTATTGCGTTTGGTTTAACATACTTTTATTTGAAATACAGGCAAAGTAATACAAAAACAAGGAATTTTTGGCTTTTAATTCTTTTACTGGCTTACCCGTCAACTCGGCAAGGCGACTCCAAGCATTTGCAACTTTCTTTTTATTTTTATGATTAACGTCTTTGGGGTTCCAGATAGACGATTCGGTCTGGTAATATTCCAGAAACGATAAACTCTCTTCGTTCGACCAGTCACTCATTTTAAACAAAGAACTAAACATGCGCTCCTCGCGAAATCACAATTTCTACTAAACGCGCACCAACGTGTGAATGCGTTGCAAGCGCTTGCCGCAAGGGCCCTTTGATCTGTGTCCAAAAACCGACACTAGCCCGGATCGGGGACAAGCTCACGCAAGCCAAGCCAAACGCCCTCTTTACACACTTGTGCTTGTGGATGCTTGCCGAGACTTGGCAAGCGTGGAAACCCGGCATTAGATTTCGGGACCGCCCGATTATCCACCTGAGCTATTATAACCTTGTGCGTTGTGGCGAAATTTACCTTCGTATTCTAATAATATTTTAGCAGTTTTTCATTGTCTGAAAACAGATAAAATGGCATTTTCTAAAAATAAATAATGTTCAATAAATATTAATAACAATTTAAGCGTAACCAGTGACCGCTACTAACTGCGTAGTGCGCGTGGATTATTGCGTATGCATAGACTTATATATAAGTGCCCTCTAGTGAGATTAAAAGAAGTCTAGCCTAGCGCTTCGGAATGTAGATGGAAGCACATAAAACGTATCATTTTGCTCGTAAAATAATGTTCTAAGTTGCATGCCCATGCTAGCGCGGTTAGTACTGAACTTAGCAAGTACCTACTGCGCGTTCGCTCTGTCGGATTGTGACGTCATGTCAAAGAGAACGAGTGGGTAAAAATTAAAAAAATATGGCGAAACTTCAAAACGTTATAACTTTCGTATTTCTGCACTAATTTGGATGAAACAAAAACTATTGTTATTTTCATAAACATCATAGTTTTAAAGCTGTATAGGTTTTATTGTCAAATTAGAACATGTTGGTGTGACCCATTGTAGTTATTTCATGTTAGTGTTTTAATTTAACCCTCATTAAAGTTTTTTTTACTCATGTTATTGTTTTAGTTAAACCGCCATTAAAGGATTTTTCAATTTCGCAATATCGCAAATTTTGCGATAATACAAGTTCCGATACCGCAATATTGCGGTATTGAAAATATACTGCGGCATTGCATGCTCTAATTGTAGCCAGACACAAAATCAATAATTTTTATGTTAACATTACAACATATAAAAAATATCCTCTCCGACACGGAGAAAAACAAAAACATTCTGCGCGTATTTTCGAATTATCATATTTTCATTACTTGTAAGTACCATATAAAATATTAAATAAGTAATGTAGGCACGTATATTAAACTTCAGCTATTTCTAATAATTCTGAAAAATTTATAATTACAGTGATGGGGCGGAAGTAGTTTGAACCAAATACGAACTTCGGCGGAACATTCCGTAAAAATTCGGCATCTTTGCCGCGTGTTTCGGTTTATTTTCGTAGTAAATTTTAAATACCGGTACATAAAAATAAGATTGACACTTTTATAATTATAAATTTTTTTAATGTCTTACTTTTATGTTATCTTTCACACAAATTAAAAAATGATTTGACGATGAATTTGTTACTGATGTTTGATAGAAGAATACTAACTCTATTTCATTTTTGTTATAAGAGGAATGTGGAGTGGCGATACGCGGCTTGAGTAGGTATTTTTAAAAATCGTTTCATACCGCTCACTCCGTATTGCCGTATTGTGCGATAGAGAGAATTGCAAGTCTTGGAGGCAATTGCCTACATTTCCTTTTTGAAATATTGTTTCGGGCGATAACGTTTTCACCCCCCTAAACCTTTACGAAATGAGACAATTTTGGTCTCATTAGATTCAGTACACCTTCATCTAGGTCTGTTCGTTTTTCGTTTTACAAGCTTTTATTTAAGTTGCAATGTAACTATGTTTGTTGGGGTGGAATCTTGCAACTTAATTTTGAAGCAGATATCTTCAATCGATTGAGCTGAAATTTTGTATACACGTTAAGTTTGGATGACAATGCATGGTTAGCTGTGTGACGTCATTCTAAATCCAACATGGCGAAACATTTTGTACCTTGGCATGTGAATGATTTAAAGTAAATTGTATTATTTTCAAAATCGTTTTTTTTTAATACCACTCCCTATAAGTCTGATTTGAAAATAAGTCCTTAATATATATCGTAATATATACCATCTTCCTACTTGAGACCCATTTTTAGTCGTTATAGCAGTCAAACTGCGAATTCACTTATTATGCGAAAGCGCACGTATTGTGACGGGCAACTACGGAACCGTACCTCTACATTGTGCGCGGCCCGACACGCACTTGGCCAGTTTTTTCATCATGTCTACAACGTAACGTTTCCAAAATGTATGTAAGCTAGAAGTATTTGAGGGGGGGGGGGACACGTTATCGCTTTTTGTATGAAAATTTAGAGCTTCACAATCACAGTACATTCACAGTTAATGTCTAGTTCTAATTAGACAAATTAAATTCATAAGACTCTTTAATTAAGAAGAGCTATTTTTAAATTTCCTATCTATTACAATTACTATTTTTATAGGATAGGGCAGGGCTCGGAAACCGGTTCAAATTCTAAACCGGTTTCGGTCATTGACCCCAAAACCGGTTTCTGCGGAATACCGGTTTTTCACAAATTTAGGTTTAGGTAGTAAGAATTAACCGGTTAAAACCAAGATTTGTATTGTTGCCCCTCTCCCTTACCCCGCTTGCACCCAACTTTGTACGGCTGCCCTCTGTTTAATTCACGAGGTTTTTAGACACATGAAGAATATATTCATTGGCAACTGCCTTTTAACGTATTCCCTCATATTTTTTCATCTTTGTAACGATCGTATTATAAATAACAGATGTAAGTTCTGTTTCAATTACACTTTAAAATTAAGTTTCGATTTAGTTTAATTTGACGTTATATATTTAAATTAACTTTAATTATATTTAACGTTTTCTATTAAAATTACGCTATGCATCTTTATTTTAATGTCATTAGTTTTAGTAATATATCGCAATAAATGATGAACTTTCTTAACAGAACACGATATTTTTAAAAGTTTATGAAATTATATGTTATAGTATTTTTGTTCTTTTTA